GTGTGGGGCGGGGGGGGGGGGGGGGGCGGGGGGGGGGGATATTTGATTTTAAAGAACAAGGTACACAAAAAATATTTCCTTCTGCACTTCAATTAGAGGTTGAACACCTTACTAGCCAAAGAACTGTAGTTTCTCATCACTTTCTCAGCTGACAATGCAAGTTGCAGTAACCCACTGCCTTTTCCTCCATTTCCTTCAGGAATTAAAAAAAAAAAAAAAGTTTGTTGAGATCCTAGTTTGGAAAAGATAATACATATTTTTATCATTGTGAAATTTTGATCAATCAAAAATTTCACTAAACACTGTGAGGAACATAGTAATTCATCTGCTCCAGTCTCCTTATGCAGTGCGATGAGAGCTAAGTACAAAGGCTAAATCGTTTTCTTTGTTTCCCAGGGCAGATCAACAGGGCTTGAGGCAGGCAGGAGACAGCAAAGGAGACATGTTAGAAAGAATTCCCCTCCAGATCCATATACAAGAGCTGAGCAATTGCAATCCTCTGCAAGGTGTTTCCCTATTCTCCCTCCAAGATGGTATCAGTCTGCAGTCTGGGCTACTAGAGGTTGCACAGTCTGTGGACTATGTTCTGTTAATCTCACTCTAAGTAAAATAAAGTACATATCCATTGCACAGTTTTGTACCCCTGGAACAGAGATACCACATTCTTATTGTTAATGCACTGTGTTTTACCAGTTTGCTTTTCTTTCTTGCTTTTCAAAATTACAAGTTCAATTCAAGAAGAAAAAATTTTCGTGTATGTTCAGCTCCAAATTAACAGACTTAAATGTAGATGTTCACAAGTAGATATCTACAAGAAAGGTGGGTTGCTATATTCCCATTACAGCCATGGAGATTTAGGGCTCACAAGTTGTCATCTGGTGCTGGATGCTAAAGGGCATCCTGCCTGACTCCAGCTGCCACCTCAGAATGACTCAGTCTCACAAGAGGTCTATTTCATATATGTCAGGCAGATGTTGGGTTAACCCACAACAATGCACAAACATTATTCGGTTTCTTAAGATGTACAAAGAGTTCCTCAAGATTGCTGGAGAAAATGGAGTGACTGTAACTGGGAGGTTATTCCTAAAAGCTCCTCTCTCTTAAAAGCACAGAAACAAATAAACGGATCATTGCCTCCCCATTTATTGGGAGTTAAACCAGCAATTAACTTGTATCAATGAAATTGGGCATCATAGAGATGCTTATGGTAGAAGAGTAGAGTGACTTACAGATGGGATCTATTATGATTTCATTAGGATGATCTGGGGGGGGTTCATTCTTTGTTTTTATCATAAGTCTGAGGAAGGTCTATTATTGCTTCACTGTAAACCCTAAGGAAAACACTTGTAAACCCAAGAGGTTTCCAGTGTTTTCATCATTCTGGAATGGGGAAAATTAGATCTAAGCTTTTGTCTCTTTCAGAAGAGACACATTAAACACACATTCTTCTAAATAGCTGTCCTCTGCTAGTCTTTCTCTCTCACCTGTACCACTTCCTGAAAATAATCAGCCATAAGTAAAGTTTTGTCATAACTAAAAATATATGTTTACATGCAATTAGAAAGTAGAGATTGATTGCTGATACAGTACACTCCTGGAAGGTGATATATACATCAAAGATAATGGTTCATGTGTGTTTACAAAAATAAACATTTATTTTGATTTTATCTACAGGTAAGTAGTGTTGTGTGACAACAGGTACTGTGCTGTCACATGCAAATGTATGCATATGACAGATTTACAAGGAGAGCTGTAAGAGCTAGGAGTAGCCAGCAGCAGTAAGGAAGTATCCATTTGCTTTGAGTTCGTCTGCAGGAACAAGAGTCTAAAGAAACAAGTGGTCCAGTACACTAGACCAGTGCAAGGGGAATAAAAGACAATAAACCATTTATGGTGCAAAACTTAGCAAAAGTGGAATTATAGTTTCCACAGAGTCCATACACCTGACACATAATAAAAATACTTCAGAGAAGAGATAAAGACAAGAAAACTTGCCCTGAAAATAAGAGTATAATCACATATCAGAAACTCATTATAACCACAAGCCAATAAACACCACGTGACAGATTGTACCCGAGTCATCCAAACATTCAGACTCATGGGGCTCAAATTCATACCTCGGAGGAATTCTTTTTGTCTCTTTATTGAACTTGGTGAGGGGAATTAGGGACTGGGAAAGAAGTTCGAGACAAAGAGAACTGATCTTCAATATTATTCTGCTCTTGCCTGTCATCCCCCTAATCCTGACGATGTATTTAAGACGTGCCATAACTAACGCAATTTATTCAACATTTAGAGGAACCCTCTCTGACTTGCAAAAGAACATATAATGAACTTGGTAAAGCAAAATAAATTCTTTTGATCAGCTTGGAGAAATATCACAATATCCTCTTTCTACATAATCTGTAGGTGGGTTTGTATTTTTGAAAGGCAAACCAAACTATTACAACTGGCTTTGCAAGATATTCGACGATTTCTCTGACCCAACTGACAGCACTGAAAATTACTATTGATTTAAGAAGTAATAGCACATTGATCAGTATTCTGATCTACTAATCCATGCTTTCTATTAATCCACACAAGGGACTTAGTTACAGCACTTGCAATAAAAGAGCTAAAAATCTTATCAAGCTGTGCAAGGATGAAACTTACTCTTTAAGACACTTAGTATGAAGAGATAATATAAGATACTATGTCTCTGGAATACCTGAATAACTAGACCCCACGATGCACAGAATATTTTGAAATTGTAGCGACTAACTGTAAACCCAGCTGTGAAATGTTTTAGGATTTAGATTTATGCTAGAAAAAAAGCCTCACTGTGTGCAAAAGCAAGAGGTATTAATTTCAAAATAACCTTCACTAGATAATTATGTCACAGCTGAAAATTATGTTTTGAAAGTGCATGTTTCTCCAAATACAGTTAAAAACTAATAAAACACTTAGCATACTTTCCCACAACTAGAAAAAACAAACCAGCATAAACAGGGTCAGACAGTTTGATGATGAAGGGACTGAGAGCAGCCCTGTGGAGAAGGACCTGGGGATGCTGGTGGATGAAAAGCTGGACATGACCTGGCGATGTGCAGCTGCAGCCCAGAAACCCAACCGTGTCCTGGGCTGCATCACCAGCAGCGTGGCCGGCAGGTCGAGGGAGGGGATTCTGCCCCTCTGCTCCGCTCTGGTGAGACCCCACCTGCGGTTCTGCATCCAGCTCGGGCGTCCTCAGCACAGGAGAGACAGGGACCAGTTGGAGCAGGTCCAGAGGAGGGACACAAAAATGGTCCGAAGGCTGAACACCTCTCCTGTGAGGACAGGCTGAGAGAGTTGGGGTTGTTCAGCCTGGAGAAGAGAAGGCTCCGGGGAGACCTTATAGCAGCCTGCCAGTACCTAAAGGGGGCTTATGAGAAAGATGGAGAGAGACTTTTTACCAAGGCCTGTAGTCACAGAACAAGGGGCAACGGTTTTAAACTGGAAGTAGGCAGGTTTGGATTGGACGTAAGGAAGACATTTTTTACAGTGAGTGTGGTGAGGCACGGGGACAGGCTGCCCAGAGAGGTGGTCGATGCCCCATCCCCGGCAGTGTTCAAGGCCAGGCTGGATGGGGCTTGGAGCAACCTGGTCTAGTGGAAGGTGTCCCTGGCCACAGCAGGGGTTTGGACTAGGTAGTGTTTTAATCTCCTTTCCGACCCAAACCATTCCATGATTCTATGTTGTCTTTATGATTTTCTTTATCAGTATTTGCAAATATGCTATTCATCACCAAGCTAGCTGTAGAAATGACAGAACAAATATTAACAAAAATATTGAATAATGTTATATAATTAT